CCTCCTCTGACAAACTTTCTTCCAAAACGTCTTGCTGTGAAACATAATGCAATTCCATAAGCTCTTGGTGGTCAGCTCTTGGATGTGCTCTTTCACAAGCTCTTCGATATCACTGTTATCCACCTACAATCCCATGATAGTGGCCAAAAACACAATATCGTTGACCACAGGTTCCACATGTACTGTCTCGAACCCCTCAAAGTTACAGATTGACAACGCTCTTCGGCCAAAGCTTCTTCCAAGCAGAATTTAGGGTTCTCTTGGTAACCCCTTTCCCCGCCTTGTTGATCATCTTGAGGCAGGCAACGATGTGGGAGTGATTTTTCCAAGACTCTCTGAGAGTGAGGTTGGTCCCTTCAGTCACATGAAAACAATGCTCGAAGAGTGTTTTAGTGTAGAGCTTAGAAATTAAGAGTTAGAAATAACTTGCTGGTCTATGGGCTGGAGTAATGGAGTGGTGGTGGGAGGCAGAAACTGGATCTTGATGAACTTAAATTCTTCAAAGAGATCATCTTGTAGGCCTGGAGGATTCATGTACATATATCACAATATAACACAAGTTTGAGAAAAGGTGTGATCACAAACAACACTACGATGATACTGCAACGTGTGCTAAACACAGACTGATGTAACACGCGCACAATTCGGGACTTCCCCTCTCCTCGCCACTCGTTATGCAAAACGTCGCTTGTTAAGCAAGTCATTTTTTTACATTTTATTTTGCTCGTTATGCGAATTACTCGTTATGAGAGGTGCTCATTAAGCAAGGTTCTACTGTATATAGTTTTCATACTAAAGCTAGCATATGTTTACACAGTTACAATGTTGCACAAGCTCTGTTTATGTATACTCTGAGAAGAAATATCAAACAAAAACAAAATCTTTGTCCACAAAATGAGTAACTATACGTAATAAGCAAACACCAAGTTGGAAAAAAAAAGTAAAGGGCTCCTTGTACGCCAGTGGCACATCAGGCCCGTGGTGCTAAACTCATATTTTTACAGACATGTCTCATGACATGACCAAAGAATGTAGATTGTCTCTTTTTCACGTGGGCAATCATTTTTCTTCAAAAGTAAGTTTTTTTTCAAGACATCTTGATTACTCTTTTTATCTGTCCGGGTTGTTCTCTTTTTCTTCTTCTTTGTTCACCGGCTGTAGGCTCCGACAAAAAAGTCCTGGCTGTTCATCAATTTGGACTTTAGCTTTGTGCCAGGGCCTGAATTTTGCGTGTACATCCATTTTACTAGCATTTTGTGTGCAGTTGGTTGTTCCTTGCTGCTCGGGAAGGTGCACTCCAACTTCAAAGCAAGCTTCCAATTAGTTGACTCTTACAACATGCTTTTTTTTTTTTTTGGGTAGGTAATGGGTCTATTTTTGTTTTCCCCACACTGGGACCCCGGGAATCCACACTGGGAAGGCTGTTCTCAACATTTGTCTAGAAAACCACATCTCTGCCACTTCCACATAATATTTGGCAAATCATTCAACTGTTCATGATTCACTAGCCACAGAGATCTCTAAAGTGGACAATGAAAAGACAGCACTGATAGACAGCCTGTCTGGAAACTGATGAGATACTGCAGAAATTTATTGCTTCAGTAAAGATAACATTTAAAAAGATGAAATGTTAGTTTCTTCTTGAGGGAAAATTAACATATACATTTGCAACAAGAACAGGTTTGCAACAAGGTACCTTTTGCCCCCATTATTATTTGTCCTGGCTGTTGACTAGATTATGACTATAGCAACACCACTATCAGAAATAAAATTCACTGGGTCCTGACAGAATACCTAGATCTGGACTTCAATGATGACATTTCTCTATGATCTCACTCATGAAATTAGACACAAAATATAAACATGCCTTATGAGAGATCACAATAATTATTCTAACAATCCACATTGAAAAAACTGAAACAGTAATAAGAATACATCTGGCTAACAATAAACCAGTCTTTTTTGCTGAACTCCTGCTACAAGATGTGGAGTCATGCACTTATGTGGAAAGTAAAGATATAAATACATAAAGACACAAGGCAAGATGTTTTGTAGGATTAGTAAATATCATCGTTACCACAGTAACCTAGGAGCTACATCTCAGTTTCGAGACATTCACATTTGAACATTATGGTCTCCCTGAAAATTGTACAGTAGTGTTTAAAAAAAAAAGGTTTATTTTGACTATTTGAAGTAGGAATTCACATGTAGCATTTTGTAAAGTGACAAATAACAACCCTGAAAATGCACCCAGATGAGTTTGGGGTAGTACCAGTGATATGTCAAAGCCAGAGAAGAATTAGGTCATATGGACTGAAAAAGATGAGGAATCATCATGACTAGCAGACAATGGCAAAGGATAGGAAGAGTTGGTGCGTTGAAAATCTATGCTCCGTTAGAGAATAAAGGACAGAAACAGAAACAACTGGTGACCCTGAAGCACACTGGGAAAAAGAGATATAAGGAGACCTAAAATCATATGGAAAAACCTTATTATAGAATAAAGTGGGCTAAAACAGATGGCAAAATAAAAATTTAAAAAAATGGTGTGAGTTAGCTAACTCTTTCAGGGCCATGTAATTCTTCAAACACTAATTAGTGTGTTGAACTACCTGGTGGCACCCACACCACGCAGCATTAACCACTGATGCACCCCGCAGCACCCACACCATCCATGGAACCCACACCACCATGTGGCACCCGCACCACCCAACGGCACTTGATGTTAACAGGGGTATAAACAACCTATGCTAACAACAATAATACACTTACAACATGCTTGACCACCTACATATCAGACCACCTATATATCGCAGCCTAGCTACCACTAAAACCATGAGCCACCGGCACCTAATCCCAAGACACCACACCTGACAACTTTGCCATAATTATCCCATTGTATCATATGCTGTGACGCCTTGAAGACCCCTAAATCCCCTTCAGCTGACACATAAGCACGTCGACTTGAATCCACAACCTTCTTTTTTTCTTTAAAAAAATTAATTCAAGTTCAGCATCATGTCTAAACTATTTCCCTTTTTTTAAAAATACACAAGCTGTATCAGGCCAATGCAGGCAGCACCATGCCTTGGCGGCAGGGCTTCTGCTCATGCTCTGGATTTGACCAAAACCTCCCTACATAACTACACTTTTGGTCGCTTGCCTCTGAGACAGATGTACTCTGACTTCGAAGGATGCTCCTAATTAGTGGACTCTATGACATGCTTGTTGGGGAGGCAGTGGGTCTATTCTTGTTTTCCCCACAGTCTTATTGTAGAGTTTCCCCAAACCCAAACGGGAATGACATTCAACTTTTTGAAGCAAGTGCAGAAGGGCACACAAAAATCAGTTCTAAACAACCATTTATCAAAGCATGTACACCTATGTTCTTATATATAGTGGGTCTATTCTTGTTTTCCCCACAGTCTTATTGTAGAGTTTATCCAAACCCAAACGGGAATGACATTCAACTTTTTGAAGCAAGTGCAGAAGGGCACACAAAAATCAGTTCGAAACAACCATTTATCAAAGCATGTACACCTATGTTCTTATATATAGGCTGCTGCGACTATGATACAAGTTTATACTGACCATGGATAAAAATTAAAAACAATGACACTGCAGGCAACTAATTTTTATGTTTTTGTATTTTTAATGAAAAATAAAAATATTTATATCTGCACTCTCTAATTAAATGTTTCATTTTTATTATCTTTGCAACACAAAATACTATAAATAAAAATATGTATGCTAAATGTAGATATCAGGACATACAAGCCAGGAATAAGTATTTCAAGTTCAAGCAATACGCAACAATTGTGTTATATTTACTCCAACTTTATTTTCTTTAAAAATTTGATCTCAGAGGACAACAGTGTTTAATTACCATTAAGTTATTATCACATCTCCCTTTAGCTTGTATACTACTCACATAAACACACACAAAAAAGAAACACATAGCTACTGAAAGCGACAGAATTTCGTCATCATTTTGACATTTCAAATCTTTGTGGTTTAATGAGCGAAACTGTTCAAATTGAAGAAAGAATACCTTAGGGTTCAACCAATCGACAGTTATTTTGCATCTGGGTCACTGATAGTTTTTAGGCTTATTGGCTTTCCTGTCAATTAATAAAAATTTGCCACTGGGTAACCATGTGTTTCTTTTTTTGTTTTTCTTGTTTTAAACACTATATTGTATCTACTGCCAGCCATAATGTGAATATTACTCTTAATATTACTCTGTGATACATCTTCACTGATTTCTGTATATCTGCTAGCATACTTTTTGCTGTATAAACTGATACAGACTTAAGTAGCTTCCCTCAACACCCATGAATTATTATTCATTATCATCATCATCACAATTACATTGTGTGCTTTTAATAGCAAGCATAAGGCTCCTTGGTTCAACTCTTCATAAATCTGTTTCAGAATAGGTCTCTGCTCTTCATCTTATTATGGCACTTGGTCAAGCTGGCTAAATATTTATCTCTTTGTTTTCCTTTTTTTAAAGCAAAGTTTGCCAGCTGTAACTAAGGTTTCTAGTATGTCACTCTTCTTTAATGAAAACAAAGAATCAGGACTACTATTTAAAAAAAAAATTAAAGTGAAAAGACCTTTTTCACGCTCCTGGCACATTGGGTATACAGTGATAGTAAAAGTAAAGTAAGTAAAGGACCCTTTTCCATGCCTATAGGGCATATAGGGCTAGACCTATATTTTTATAGACCAATCAGCACAAGATGGGTGATGTTACAGTGATAGATCTATACATTTTTATAGACAAATCGTCATTAGATGAGTGATGCGGACATCATGCCAGCCAGCTTTACTTCCCAGGTAAGCTGGGTTGACCTGAGAGTCAAGATGAATTTTGGGAAGAAACATGCTGGACTAAAATTATAGAACATTACCGTCATCATTTATGAGTACCACATTCAATAGCCTTTGACAGAAACCTTTTCACTGAAAGTTTCAGATAAAAAAGTTTCAGTTGCTTATTGAGCCTCGGAGGAATTTCTGGACAAGCTCAACCTATCTGCACAGTTTTCACAACTATCTTCCTCCGTATTAACAGTGTCTGAAAAATAGTCCATGCTTTGGTGTTTTTCATATGCGGAAACTTCATCAGAACCTGAAAGTTTATTATTACAAGAAACAGAATCAGAATTTATCTTGCTGTTGGCAAGCTGTGAGTTAACACTATGCTGTGATCGGTGGTTTTCTCTATTTTGTTTCTTCTTTTGCTGATGTTTTCTGGAATCTGTTTCTGACTCCTCAGGCCTTTTCCCTTCTAGTTTTTCATACAGGAATAGTTTGTTGTGTAAAACCTGGGCAGCCAATTTCTGGTGGGCAAGAGCTTCATTCTTTTCATGAACCTGGTCAAGAAGAAAGATACTGTAAGTGAATATATGAATAACACACTTTTTTTTTCTTAAAAAAGTTAGGAGCTGAGTATGCAGACCTTTCTCACATTCTGCCTTCTGGTCTCACTCCTTAGATACATTATTTTATTTTTACATCATATAACACAAACATCATGAAAACATTTAAGACTTAATTACAAATGCTGGAATGTGCTCTAATTATACTTACATTTCTAAATAATAATAATAATACTAAGTGTTAAATGAGTTAAGGTAATAAGTAAACTGAAGTTAGCTGTTGGCCAAGCGTCCTAGTGGACGGTCTAGACCAGTGGTTCTCAAACTGGATGCCGTGAGCATATGCCAGGGGTGCCGCCGCAATAATCAATAAGTTTTCCAAATCTGCTTGAGTTCTGGATGCTTGAGATCAGCGAAGCAGTGTAAAACAGAAATACCATGAAGGGAGCCAAGAAGAGTTCTGGATGCTTGAGATCAGAGAAGCAGTTTAAAACAGAAATACCATGAAGGGAAGCCAAGAAGAGTTCTGGATGCTTGAGATCAGCGAAGCAGTTTAAAACAGAAATACCATGAAGGGAAGCCAAGAAGAGTTCTGGATGCTTGAGATCAGTGAAGCAGTTTAAAACAGAAATACCATGAAGGGAGCCAAGAAGAGTTCTGGATGCTTGAGATCAGCGAAGCAGTGTAAAACAGAAATACCATGAAGGGAGCCAAGAAGAGTTCTGGATGCTTGAGATCAGAGAAGCAGTTTAAAACAGAAATACCATGAAGGGAAGCCAAGAAGAGTTCTGGATGCTTGAGATCAGTGAAGCAGTTTAAAACAGAAATACCATAAAGGGAGCCAAGAAGAGTTCTGGATGCTTGAGATCAGCGAAGCAGTTTAAAACAGAAATACCATGAAGGGAAGCCAAGAAGAGTTCTGGATGCAGGTGTATACAGAAAACGATGCTACTGGCAAGGCTGCAGTGCATTATCAACGTACGCTTACGTTTAAAAAAAAAAACAGATTCAGGAGCAACCTTCAAGTGAGCTGAGGGTACAGTTAACTAAACTTTCTATAAACATAAAGCAAATAATGAAAAATTCATCCAAATAGTTTTATTCATCGTATTAAAATTAACTGAACATTAAATTTGCACTGCTTCATTTTTTTTTGGGTTCTAAGTATCCAGACTGCTTTAAGGGCAGGTAGGCCGTGAAATCTTTTTCCCATGTCAAGCAACTCTGTTAGTGTCATAGATTCGTCATTATCCACAAACCTAGTTTGTGCAGTGTTGAGAATATCTGCTCTGCACCTTCCCACATGTGTATCACAGCTTGCTAGCTGGTCCGTCGTTCATTATCTTTCACCCTGGCGCGACCAGGTGTATAAATCCAGACGAGGGGAATTAAATGCAATTTCAGAATGCTTTCTACCCATTCAAAGTGTATACAGTAGATTCCACTTAAATCGAACTTGGATAAGTCAAATTTCGGTTAAGTTGACATGACCAGCTTAGTCCTGGCAATTTCCTCTATTGTGTATGCTGTCTGGATAAGTAGAAATTCTGTTAAGTGGAAGAATTTTCTTAATTTCCTGCGGCTTCTACTTATCCAGACTCAACTGTACTACCTGATTTTTCTAAAGCAACCGTCTCAAAGAGTCAGATGGACAAACTAGAGCGCATACAGATTGCGGCTATGCGGGTCATTCTGGGTTGCACCAGAGACACCCCAGTGGTGTGTATCTCAGGGTAGCTGCAGACACAGACCACCCTCTGCATGAAGCTCTGGGTGCAGTTAAGGGTCAGCGGCTGATAAGAGGGAGGTCATGGATGGCTCAGGCAGAAGACACAATTAGACAGGTTTGCATCCTTGAGAACATTAGGCGAGGAGAGGAGTGGGTCAAAGTGCCACCTGAGCAGTCAGACTTGTGTAGAGTCATAATCACGCTGAGCCGGAAATGCAGAGACTGGCCAGCAAGTGCCACAGAGGTGGAAATTCAGCAATTAATTCAAGATAATGCTCGCTCAGACGGTTCAGTGTCAAGAGGCAAAAGAAGTGCTTAGGGCTTTTTAACAAAAGTTAATGGTCGACGTTTGGTGCAGGAGAGCCTAGCATATGATACCACAACATCCAGCTTAAGAATTGAGGTGGAGGCGGTCACTGCAGCTTTCAGCTGGCTAGAGAACACGACACACACACACTGATTGTAACTGATTCAGAAAGCATGCTGAGGAAGATCAGAACAGGTATGCTTCGTGCAGAGTGGCATGCTTCTCTGCGGAGGACACGAGTGAGGAGTAATGTATGCATTTTTTCACCGGGTAACGCCGGTGTGTTGGGAAATGAACAGGCGGACAGACTGGCTGGCTCTGCACAACTTGGTGGAATACTGCTACATGATAGGACAGACGTGGTTAGTGCCTTGTGGGAGAGCGTGTACAGTGCGGAGGAGCAGATGGGTCACCACAGTCTGGTGAGATTGATGCAGTTGGGGGTGACGAGAGGTTCTGGCAGAAGCTCAAGGCTCAGAAAAAAAGCAAGACGGACGTTTAATCAGAAAGCTACTGGCACCATTAGTATCAGAACTCTTCGCTGGCTGCTGAAGATGGGGACGGAGCGCTTATGGGAATGCCCCGAGTGCTGTGATGTCGGTTCTTGAATCAAATCAAATCAAATCTGAAGCAACAGTCAAAGTAAAATTAAGAAAAACACAATGAGAACCCTCCCTGAGTATCCTATACACTACAAAATAAATGATATAGGCAATGTCAGTTGAGTTAAACATATAAAGAAACAATTACCATTTCCGTAAGAACTGTGACAAGCTCTTGCAGACTCATGTTGGACAAGGTGTTTCCTTTCTCTGCTTCCATTCCTTGTTCTGTGGGTTTGGGTGGCACATAGTCATCTGTGTGGATAAAATAACCAATGATAAATTCTGTTTGCAATTTAAGACCTGTAACAGTTAAATGTCAAAGATTAGAGGGTTTTCCCTCAGGGTTAGAGCAGAATAGTTCCCTCCCTTTTCTTTTCCCAACAGGTCCCAAATAGAAAATTTACAAGCACCAATACAACCTCAATAGTCCCTACTTCAAGCTATTTAAGGACCCTTTTCCATGCCTTCAGGCAGATTAGGTACATAGGGCTAGACTGATATTTTATATGCCAATCGGTACTCGATGGGTGATGTGGTCAGCATCATGCCAGCCGCCTTTATTTCCTAGGAGGACTTCACCTGGTACCCATTTAAGGCTGGGTCGGCATGGAAGCCAATGTCACTTCTAAAAAACAAAAACAAAACAAAATTCAGGTTCCATCAGGATCCTTTGGGTTTGCATTTCATGCACTTATGTGGAAAGTAAAGATATAAATACATAAAGACACAAGGCAAGATATTTTGTAGGATTAGTAAATATCATATATTTGCAACATAATCTAACACTGATCAGCACCTGCTATGATCATCAGTCTCCAATATAACCTTACACTGATCACCACATCACATTATACCCAATCTCTATAATCACCATGTAAAAGTTTTCAACTACTGCCTCTTTTTCCTCTTCCCATGAACCTTTCACTAATGTTTTTTCCAAGTCCCTGTGATGCTTAATATGGTCAAAGTATTTCTTCTTCTTCTTTGTGTTCACCAGCTGTACACTCTGGCGTAAAGTTCTGGTTGTTCGTCCACTTCTGGACTGCAGTCATGCTCCAGAACCTGAGTGTTGCATGTGCATCAGTTTTACAGATCTGATTCAATTGAATGCAGACTGCTGGTTCCTTGCCTCTCAGGCAGATGCACTCCGACTTCAAAGGAAGCTCCCCAGTTAGTCGACTCTTACGACATGCTTTTGGGGAGGCAGTGGGTCTATTCTTGTTTTCCCCACAATAGGGCCCCGGAACCCACACGGAGGACAAAGTATTTCAATTTCCAATGAGTGACATTGTCCGTAAATCAGTTTATCATCACACAACTGAACATCAATATATTCTTTTTTTTAAAAACACACACATTTTCATAACTATTTACCATCATTAAGAACCTGTACAAGCCATTTAAGAGCAGCTTTGGCTTTTGCCGTTCTGGATGACAAGGTGGCAATATGTGACATCTGTAAACACAGTTTTCTATTCTTTGTCAGCTGCTCCTCAAAAGCTAAACGGTAGGCGTCCACAGTTAGGTTACTCTCCTCCCGTCTCTTCTGGTTCAGCTCAAGCTGAGAAAACAGTCAAGACATGACTATAGAAGCAAGTAGATAAGGTTAGTCAACATTTATTTGCTACATCATGAGATTAACGGCATCTATGATAGCACAGTGATTATCATGCTTGCATGCTGGCTCAGTGGTAGAAAGTTCAAATTCTATTTCAGGCTGATTTTAAAGAAGTGACCTGGATGCGGAAGCGGCAAAGACGTGTTTTATAGACGAATGATGAGAATACACTGGACAGACACATACCAAAAAAAAAAGCTAAAGAGTTAAGTAACCCCCCCCCCCCCCCCCACCACCACCACCCCCACTCTCTAAAGGTTATAGTTTTATTTCACACTTTTTAATTCACAAGTGCAAAGAGCGGATTTTCTGGCTACAAAAGCGAAAGCTACAGAACACTCGTACTGGACAAGGGAGATATTCTGAAGACCATATATTAACAACTGTTGGCAGAAGACACGGGATTAGATGAAATAACATGGACTAGATTGTGTGAACGAGGAATTAAGTGTTGATCTGTCACGGAGGGACGGATGAGAGGAAGAGATCGGCATGTGTATAATCAGTGTGCTATGGGAACAGTAAGCATCTACACCTACGTCTTTTTCTGCGGGAGACGAAGCATCTATGGGTATGCCCGGTGTGCTATGATGTCGATTCTTAAATCAGTAATCAGTAAGCAAGTGCAAACTTTATGGAGTTCCTGGGGAGGAGGCAACAAGTAAAATAGCCCGTGCGTGGAGAGAATGATGAAGCATGGAACATCTGTGGACTCTGGATGCCACTAAAGACTTGGAGGAAAGGCAATACAAGTAGTTATAGATGACAATGGGTACCGTTAGTAGGGAGACTCTTTGCTAGCTATTGAAAAGGGAGATGGAGCTAATATGGGTTTGTCTTGAGTGCTTTGATGTTGAATCTTTACACAGATGAACACGCTTTTAAAAATCATACTAGATAGAAAAAGTTGAAGGCAAGACAGCAACAAGTAGGCAGTGATATAACTGGGAGGACAACATCAAGAGATGTTCAAACAGCAGAGAGAGTGTCTACAACCAGGACAAGTGACAAAGCGTGCTGGAGATCCCTTTCAGCCAACCTTCACTATGGAGATGGCACCTGACTGATTGATTGATCAACACAGATGGGAACAATTGTCACTAGAGCTATGGAGTCTATCCTTTCTGCAATTCTCTTGGTGGGTGACTAGCCATGTGCAGAGAGAAACCTAGCCAAATGCAATGAAGTAGATTCTCCATTCTTACAACCTTAAAAAAATGTTCACGAAGTACACAACTCAACAAAATTATTACCCCTTCTCGAAGCTTTGCCACTTCTTTCCTTAAATTTGCTGCTGCATGAGCACAACCACATGGCTCCGGACTGGATACTCTGCATTTACAGGCACCGAGAACTGCCAACTAACAAACGAGAAGTTGTTTATACAAGAAATCTCAAAATAATTCAAGTTAAACAAAAGATAAAAAATGAACAGATTTAATGATCATATCAAATCTGTAAATGAAAATTATAAAAGTAAATTTCCTTTACAGAAATTGCTGAGAAGCAATCTTAAGTAGACTTCTTTAAAAAAAAAAAATTAACAATAAAAAATTATTAAATAGTATAATTCTGTTAAATGTATTCATGTAACACTCTAATGTGTATTAAAATGCAACACATAAATATAGATAATAGGTGCATGTAACATTCATATGTGTACTAAAATGCAACACATAAATATAGATAATGGGTCTATGTAACATTCATATGTGTACTAAAATTTAACACATAAATACAGATACTGTGTTCAAGTACCACTCTTATGTGTATTATGATGAAATACATATATACAGATGTGTTCATACAAAACTCTTATGTGAATTAAAATGCAGTACATAAATACAAATACTTTCACAAGATGGATGTCTAAACCCCCACACCCCCCCCCCCCTCCCCCAACCACTACTGAAAAACTATTTGAATATTATCTCATTACAGACTACATAAGGGAGCCACTGCGGTGTAGCGTCTAGATGCTCACCTGTGGATCAGAATCATCAGCCCATTAGCTGGCCGGTAGATGACATCATCATCAGTTCAGTAGGGACAATATTTAGGTCCCATCAAAACTGCAAGAGACCTTTTCAGGCTTCTTGGTGGCAAGCAATTTTAAGCCATTTTAAATGCATCAAATAGCCTAAGTCACAACTATACCCAAAAGGTCCCTTTTCGGAGTGCTGGTTAAACGTGACGATTTGTATTTATTTTTTCTGAAAAACGGATCAGATCAGTGGATCAGAAGGTCAAGGGTTCAAATCCTGATGGAGCCATACTTTTTTTTTTTAAACAGCCTTGGCTCCCAGGTCTAACGGGTCAGATCAGAGGATCAGAAGGTCATGGGTTCAAATCCTGATGGAGCCATACTTTTTTTTTTAAACAGCCTTGGCTCCCAGGTCTAACGGGTCAGATCAGTGGATCAGAAGGTCATGGGTTCAAATCCTGATGGAGCCATACTTTTTTTTTTTAATGGCCTTGGCTGCCAGGTCTACCAAGCGTTAACTAGGTACCAGCTAAAGTTCTGGACAGTAAAAGCAGGCTGGTGTGATAATGACCACATCACCCAACAAATGCAGACTGGTCTAAAAAATTCAGGTCTAGCCCTATATGCCTAATACGTCTGAAAGCATGGAAAAGGGTTCTAGGTCCTAAAAAGGGGGGGGGGGGTTTGACAGACTTAATGTCTGCCGAGAGACAGAGAGAGAGAGTCTGCCGATGAGAGAGAGAGAGAGAGAGAGAGAGGAGAGAGAGAGAGAGAGAGAGAGAGAGAGAGAGAGAGAGAGAGAGAGAGAGAGAGAGAGAGAGAGAGAGAGAGAGAGAGAGAGAGAGAGAGAGAGAGAGAGAGAGAGAGAGAGAGAGAGAGAGAGAGAGAGAGAGAGAGAGAGAGAGAGAGAGAGAGAGAGAGAGAGAGAGAGAGAGAGAGAGAGAGAGAGAGAGAGAGAGAGAGAGAGAGAGAGAGAGAGAGAGAGAGAGAGAGAGAGAGAGAGAGAGAGAGAGAGAGAGAGAGAGAGAGAGAGAGAGAGAGAGAGAGAGAGAGAGAGAGAGACTTATAATACCTCTGATGATGTAAAAGAGAGAGAGAGAGAGAGAGAGAGAGAGAGACGAGAGAGAGAGGGAGAGAGAGAGAGAGAGAGAGATCTTCTGCGAGAGAGAGAGAGAGAGAGAGAGAAGCTTATACCTCTGATGATGTAAAAGTGCTGTACTCATCTTCTGCAACTCTGCTTTTCCCTTGTTCATATTTTAGTCTTTCAGTAACATCCAAGAGTGCTAAAAGCTCATCTCTCTCTCTTGAGATTGCTGTAAGGAAAAAAAGACTACTTGTAGCACAAAATGTACATACTGACAATGTTAGAACACATTAAAATAGCTAACTTATATAAACTCAGTGTATCTATATCGACAAGATATCACTACTATCTCCTCTATAATTTTCTTATTTTTATTTGTCTCTACCCTATAATGTTCTATGAAGTTTAAACTTGCCCAATTTCCCTTTAAAACCCAGATTTTACTCATACTGCTGATATAATGAAGGAGGAGGAGGATAAGATGATGATGATGATCAAGAGGAACAACAAAAACAATAACAAAGAAGACGAGAACAAAACATAACAAAGCTAGTACAGACACACATGGTAGCCTGGGGTTTAACCAAAAATAAATCATTTATAAACGTACATACCTAATTTATGTGCATTTGCCCTCCTCAGTTCTTCATTTCTTGTCTCCAGTTTTGACATGAGCATTGCATTCTCTTGACAAACGCTACATTTATACCCAAAAAATAAACATTAAAAAAAACAATAGAATAAATGTTTTCATTTCTGGTTACAAGTTGTTAGTCAATCGTTAAGGTTCCAACATCACTGCAGGTGGGTTGCCCCATAACTGCTCCTTAGTCAATAGTTAAAGTTCCAATATTACTGCAGGTGGGTTGTCCCATAACTGCTCTTAGTCAATAGTTAAGGTTCCAACATCACTACAAGTGGGCTGTCCCATAACTGCTCCTTAGTCAATAGTTAAGGTTCCAACATTACTGCAAGTGGGCTGTCCCATAACTGCTCCTTAGTCAATAGTTAAGGTTCCAACATTACTGCAAGTGGGCTGTCCCATAACTGCTCCTTAGTCAATAGTTAAGGTTCCAACATCACTACAAGTGGGCTGTCCCATAACTGCTCCTTAGTCAATAATTAAGGTTCCAACATCACTGCAAGTGGGCTGTCCCATAACTGCTCCTTAGTCAATAGTTAAGGTTCCAACATCACTGCAGGTGGGTTGTCCCATAACTGCTCCTTAGTCAATAAATAATTAAGGTTCCAACATCACTACAAGTGGGCTGTCCCATAACTGCTCCTTAGTCAATAGTTAAGGTTCCAACATCACTGCAAGTGGGCTGTCCCATAACTTTCCCGGTCCTGTGCCAGTGGAAATCCCATCAACACGCTTACTCAGATTTGTTAAGATGAAAGGCACATATATCACAGTCTAAATGTAAACCACAATACAATGTGCCAACCATCCTTTTAAGGATAAAGGGAAAAGAAAAAGAAACTAAAGTTGATGAAAGGCTTGATTTTTACCCTACATAGCTCTTTCCTTTGCTGCAGTGTGGCTGTTTATCTCCTGTGTAAAGGACCCTTCTCCGCGCCTTTAGTGTAGTGGGCACATATACGTATATTTTTAGACCAATTAGCACCTGGTTGGTAATGTGGTTAGCACTACACCAACCACCTTTACTTCCCAGGACTTTACTTGGACCCATTTTAGGCTGGGTTGACCTGAAGCCAGACTTTCTTTTCAAAAATGACTTCAGCTCCCAGGTCGACCCAGTCTTAAATTGGTACCACGTAAAGTCCTAAGAAGTAAACTATATCCCCCACTGAATGCTAATTGGTCTAACAAATACAGGTCTTGCCCTATATTCCCCACTGAATAAGCTTGAAGGCATAGAAACGAGTCCTTTACTATAAGGTAATCAGTAGTTGAACTTATCAAAGTTGATAACAAATGAATGCAAAGGAATATGACCACCTGCATGACTTAACAGAGCACATTTGTTTACATATATATAAGAAAGTGTGAAATGATCTCTGAAATTAGCTTACCATCCAAAAAATTGATTATTTTTGTGTGTGTGGGGGGGAAAGGGGGGGGGGGGGGGGGGATGGTAATGTCATCCTTGCATCATAAAAAAACCTTTTCATAAGATCACATAGTGATTAGTGATTAGAAAGGATTAACATCACAGCACTCAGGACAGATCCATAGGTGCTCTGATCTCCTCCTCCAAAGCTATACAAGTGTAAAATGACTGATGATGCCTATTCTGTGTTGGTTAACAAAAAAAATATATTTTTTACATCCCTTATTAGACTGCTCTCTCTCTTTCTCTCTCTCTCCCTCCCCCCCCCCCTCTGTCTCTCTCTCCCCTTCCCTCCCTCCCCCTCTGTCTCTCTCTCTCCTTCCCTCCCCCTCTGTGTGTGTGTGTGTGTGTGTGTGAGAGAGAGAGAGATAATATTAAAAATTAACTTGGGGGCAGCAATGACCTGACTGCTAGCAGGCTTGCTCAATAGTCACAGGTTTATACCACCAGGAATATTATAAAAGCTGACCAAGAATCTAGATTTCTCTGCCTATAGTTTCTTATGGTAGAGTATCTGAGAATTACAAGAATGGATTTTAATTCAAAAAAATAAAAATAAAAGATTCTTACAGGCTGAAATGGTTAAAAACGTAGTTGTGTTAGGCTGCAATATCTACACCTTTCAACCCAACAACTTCAATTTAAAAAGTAAAGGTAACATCAGGAGATGTGAACCAGCGTCACTGCACACGGTTATAAAACATAAGCGCTCTGCTACCAGTATGGACAGCTGATAAGAATTGTCCGCCTGTGTCGCTGTTCACACGTAACTCTGTAGCTGCAGCAACGTTCCTCCATTTACCCCAGAGTGTCAACCCTGGTACCCATTTCCTAGAGGCTGGGTGAACCCCGGGAGCTGCCTGGTTTCAAACACCGACCGTGGGCTGCAGCGAGTCGCAGCTAGATTTGAAAGCGAGCTTCTTATTGACTGCGCTAACGCGGCTCCCAACTTCAATTTAAGAAAACTCCTAACCAATCACTCTTTATAACATGTGCTTGAGTCTATGCTTTTGTTGTCTCAAACTAGGCTCCCGGAACCCACATGAAAAATTTATATTATTCAGTCAAAGATATTTTTAGCTATGATGTTGTTCCACAGACAACAATCAAACTTGTGATAAGCTGGTTTAACATTTTGGAGACTGAGCCTTTTTAGAGTTTCAGTGCCAAAAAGACAGAGCCTTCAGGAGGGGATTCTCTTAATTTACACACACAAAATAACAAAAAATAAAGTGTTTAATTAAAATATATAAAATTATAAATATTTGTGTAGGAAATTGAATGAGCTAACAGAATATTTTTTTTATGAAACTGAAATCTTAACATTTATTGAAATTAGCTATTTGGATTTGCATAATTTATGTAAAAAAAAAAAAACCACACACACGCGCGCACGCACCCACCCACGCACGCACGCACACACTCTCTCTCTCTCTCTCTCTAAAAAGGTATACCCTTATGCACACAGGTAGAAATAAATAGATCTGAAAAGGCCATAGGCCATTTAAAAATGAAGGCAGTGTTTTATATTCTTTAGCCTAAAACTGATTGCTAGTTTAAAATTACACTTTCTGAATCTGCTCTCAATTTTTTAATGCTTTATTTATATTAACAGTTTCTTTGCAAGGCAACAACACTAGTAATATTTTATTTTCTTACTTTTCTAATTATTAATTTTTATATTTTAGCAATTTCTTTGCAATACTATGCTCTGTCTTCAACAATAAGTTCCATCCAGTAATATTATATACCATGAATATCACTCAGTAGAAAGTGTGTATTCATATTATACAACTAAAATAGTTTACAATAATTAAAGTGCATTGAGAGGTTATCTAAATTTAACAAACAGCAAAGGACATTTTTCACTCCATTTCTGAACTGGGATTGTTGTGTTATTAGAAAAGGGAGGTGGTGGGAGTGGGTCTATTATTTTCCCCATCAAAATGGGGTTCCAGAACCCACACAACAAGAAAAATCAGTACTCAATGGGTTACGAGGTCAACAGCAGGCCTGCTGCCTCTGTTTCCCAGGACATTTCCTAATTCTCTATTTAGACTTTGCCAAGAACAAATCTGCAGGGCACAGAATATAACCCAAAACCTTTAAGTCAGCTAGCATCTAGCCATCATGCTACTGTAGCTATAAGTTATATTAATTTTTATCAATTACTTTTTCTCACATGTATTTGATTACTTTCTTCTGACATGTACTCACCTGCATTAAAAAATAAAAGTGAGTTACTTATGTAAAGGTGAAGTGAAGTGCATATTATTACCTGGCCACTGCCAGATTATCCTTGTCCTCAGAAGTGTGTCCAGCTGCTGCTTTATCATCTAATGCCTCAACCAAAGCATCCATCCCATCACCATGCTACAAATTATGAACATAAGGAAAAGAAGAAAAAAAAAAAGAAAGGAACAAAATAAGAAAGCCCATCTTGGATGCTAAAGACATGGTGTGCCAAACATTTTCATAACCAAATCAATGATACGTTTTTGGAACAAATAAAAACATACAAGCTAGCATTGATAACTATTAATCTTGTTATGTAAATGTATTATTGGCAAGAGCAAACATAAAAGCAAGGCATCCCTCTGTTTTTACCTGCCTGTTATAGATGGGCCTGCATCTTCTAATGATGCCAAAAGCTATGCTGACAACAAAATCCTTAAGGATCTCCGGTGTCAAGAGATAGGGATTTTCAAAGTGAGATATAAAAAGCTGCTGCCTTGCAGGTAGGCTGAAGACATTCAAATGGACAGGGGAGGTGAAACTTAAAGAAGATTAATACTGTCCCAATGTGGGATGCAATTTTGTTTTTTATTTTAAAGCACCACCCCAGCTGTTGTCGGGGCCCTAAATATAATTCAGGGGTTGAACAAGGTTTCTGGGACGTGCCCAGATGATTCTCATCTGGGTGGTGGTACTTTATGTCACCGGATGTTTGTCGCTTGTCGTGCAGTCCTGGTGGGATTAAACATCATTCAGTCAAATATAAAGAAATGGCTATTGAAATTAGCTGTACCAGGCCACAGATCTGATCCTTGTAGCAGCTAAAAATTGCCTATGTGATTAGGTAGCCAGTTGCATGCTACCCCTCCTGAGTTACATTTTACAGCATGACTGGTAGGTTAGTATTATTATTCTATGTTTTTTTACAGGTCCTAACAATATGGACAATGTAACTCCATACCTGGTCCCACAAAATACCTTCAAAAGTAGTTAAACTATAAATACTGGAAATTCTGACTCAGTAATGCTACGTACCTGGTAACTTCCTGAAATTAAAAGTACAAGCAAACCACACTAATAACGTCTCTACATGCTAACCAAATACCACACAATGTTTTCTTTTTAAATAATCATTACTATGCACATTTAATTACAATCACTTACTGCCAGATGTGGATTTTTCTTGAATAGTTAAACTAAAATTATTATAAGATAGATCTGTCAGTTTTGAAAACATCTGATTCGTAGAGGAATTATCTATGAAATATACAAAGAATACCACAGAAAGATAGCAAAAAATACAATGCAGATCTTCAAGAAGCAAATTTAAACTAAAAGTGAAAAGAAAATTAAATACAGACAGAAAATATACTTAAAACTTTAGTTATAAACTGGAAAACTTTAAGGAAAGTAGCCAAAGAAATTAATAAGTAGATTTCTTGGCCAAACAGCACAACTGGGGAAAGAATGCTGACTAAATCTGTAATTGTGTGAGATGGTCAGGCATGATCATTAATGTTTATCAGCATGGCAAATGGTGGATGATTATGATGACGATAATTAGTTTTAAATTTAAAATCAGACTGGAACAGGAAGTCAAATTAAGAAGGACTGTACCCATGTGAGTTCCATAGTCCCAATGTTAGAAGGACAAACAAAACAGACTTACTTCCCCTTAACAAGCATGCTATAAAAAGTGACAAATTAAGAATTTTCTGAAACTGAATGTGTTGGGCTGAAAGGCGCAGATATACCAGGCTAGCTGTATCCCATGTCACAATGCACCAACAGCCCTTTTAAGGGTGAACACAGCAGAAGAAGAAATAAGGACTGAGGTCTGAATTTGTCTATGCATTTCTGGAGCTCATAAGAGAGGTAAAGACTAAGGTAAAGATTAACAACAATGTAACAGACATTTATATTCTATGCAATATTTCTTTGTCAATTAGGACAAGAAAAAGAATTCTCAAAAGCTATATAAATTATATCTTGCTACATGGAAGCGAATCACGGACAGTTGGACAAAAAGTAAAACATTATTTGGAAGTGGTGCAGATGTGGTTTTTATTGGCAAATGGTGAGATTAACCTGGAGAGATAAAAAGAGTAATGAAGATTCTTGATGGAAACTGGCTCATGAAGAGAACTGACTGTTCATATCAGAAGGAGACAATCTATTATTCTTTGGAAGGAAAACAACTGGAGTATTTCATTACCATGCGAAAGTCGGAGGGGAAAAGATACAGAGCAAGACCAAGAGAGTATATGCTGGACAGTCTGACATCATGGCATGGAAGATCTTTGCGTGAGAATGGATGTAAAGTACAAAAGACAAAAGGTTGTGATTAGACATGACTACCAACACCACACAGCATGGATTTGAGAAGCAGAACATACTATGCATGTCATAAGAAACTAAGGAGGGTTGGCATGAAACTGGCAATACTGCCCTATTAAAAAATGTTTCTGTAAAATCCAAACAATCATACTGAAGTGTACAGAAAGGCTGGTGTGAGTTGGCAGAGAGTCTATCCTATATTGATAGTTCTTTCTCTGTTACCTTCACCGGCTGTAAATTTCGGCAGAAAAACCTTGTGGTTAATGCACTTCTGAGTGCTGCATGCACTTCTGGGTGCAGCATACACATCTATTTTACATATTTGGCTTATCTGTGTGCAGACTGCTGGTTCATGCTTCTCAGGCAGATGCATTCTGCCTTTGAAAAAAATTTTGATTCTCTCTACATTGGCGATGCTCCCAGTTGACAACCTGTTTCTAGGATGATTGCAAAGAAGTGTAGATAGATAGAGATAGCATCAGCCCCCGTCTAGGTGCATAATCTGTTTAACACCTCTAATTCTCTTCTTGGTAGTTAGAAGGAAGGAGAAGTGAGTTCAAAACAGAAGAAGAGAGTTCAAACAACAACTGTATGATGTAGAGTTAAATAAACACATAATTAAATAAACAATGAAACAATCCTAAAAATAAGATATGAGTTCAAACAGCAGTAGAATGGCCCACGTTTAAATAAATGATGAAACAATCTTGAAAATACAGTTCTAATGGTAAGTGTATATGTAACATAAATTGCACAAATTCAAAAAGCAAAAATTTATGTTTTTATTATTATACGTCCACATGCTGAGATATCCATGCTATAACCAATGAAAAATTAAAATTAAAAATACCTTAGAAACATCCTTCATTATAATAATCGGAATGAATAAGTTTTCTTAAATTTTATCTGCTAACACTTGCACATATTGACAAATAAATAGTACAAACTATAACCTTACAAAGTGTAATAAAATAATAGAAAATTTACATTTAAAAAAATGGTATATAAAATTGTAAATGCATACAACAAAATAAGTTAAAAAACGACTAACCCGAAATTCTAGAAATCAACACTTAAGAACAGAATCTCAAATTTGTAAATTAAAAAAAACTATATTGTTTAAACTAGTCTAACATGAATCTTGCAATATGCATTGTGTATGCCCAATAAATCAATCAAGTGCAATCTCCATAATGAAGGCTGGCTGTAATGGATCACCAATATACTCTGTTGTTCATCCTGGATGTACACTCTCTCAAACTGCTGTGTGTACACCTCTTGATTTATCTTCCCACTTGTATATCGCTGTCTGCCTCTTGCCTTCAACCTTTCCCTCCAAGTGTGGCTTTTATAAGAGTGTTGTGTGCTTTAATTCGCTGCAATATTTCAAGGGCTTCTTTTTCCATAAACAACTCTTTTCACTCCTAGCTTCTTCGACATCTCTGCGCATGTTGCATACATGCAAAAAGGTCACTTGATATTTTCAAGTTAACTGAAAGATTTAAGCTGTGGTGGTTTTTTTTAGAAAACAACAATGGTGGTAAAGTCGTATGTTGAATCTTTACTGAGCCAAGCAAACACAGGATAAAAGTACATGAGGTTTGAACAAGTCTGAGCTCGAAGAAGCTCAGCACAGTGCACAGGTTCTGTAGCACCAGCAAGGATCCTAAAATACTTTAAGTAGATTTTAAACTCCAAATTTTGTCAGGGCAGCGCCGTTAGGGTAGTCTTTTCGATTTTCAACTGCCAAGGGCTTTTCTCTTCTTCTCACAAAATGGAGCCCTAGAAGCCATACACGGACAAAATGTTGCTCCAGCATCAGACTTTGAAGAGGCATTGGATTCCAGTCTTGGTATGTGCTTTGTAGATGCAGGTATTCACAGCCCCGGATATTCCATCTATCTATCTAATCTAATCTAATCTAATCTAATCTAATCTAATCTAATCTAATCTAATCTAATCTGTCTGTCTGTCTGTCTGTCTGTGGGTCGGTCGGTCGGGGTCGGTCGGTCGGTCGGTCCGTCCATCCATCTATCTATCTATCTATCTATCTATCTGTCTATCTATCTATCTGTCTGTCTGTCTGTCTTTCCGTCCATCTGTCCGTCAGTCTATCTATCTATCTATTTATCCATCTATCTATCTATCGCTTGAATGGTCGACCTCTAGTTCTGCTTCCATTGTGTCTAAGTGAGAGGGCTCTCTCTGTGGTGCACAATCTGGTGGTAGTCTTGACACACATCCAAGCCATCTGATCTTTTCTCTTTTTATGTATTTAAATACTGGTTTTGTCCAAACTTCTTTCCTGACATCACTCCTTTTATTGCATGTAGGAAAGTCTCTCAGTCCCATATTAATTCTCATGTGTCACGTACTTTCACATCCAGAGGGTATTTAAAATTCTGTTTTCACCACGGTGTTGGCCAATCCTCATCCCCCACCTCCCCCCTTCCTGAACTTATGGCTTTCATTACCTTTCTTTATGACCCCTGTATCATATAAATAAAGCCTCAAGTATTTCAGTTTCTGAACACAGCTTGGATAAGCAACTATATTTAACACTGTGACATAAACTATCAACGTCAGCAAAAGAGCATGTTAAAGCCACTCACAATATAAGTATGGACAATATTAAATTTATTATAACCAATATGGTCAAAGATATAAAAGTTAGTTTCATATCCTTTACAGGGCGCCGCAGACCAAGCCTATCACTATTTGGCTGTTTGTGGTTTTACTAGGCAATTTTACATTCAGTGATTTACTGAATGGCCAATGCCCATACCACTGGAAAATAATGCAAAGTGGTCTGCTGCCAGATCTCCTGCAGCCAAATCTAACCTGGAATGTTGGAATTATAAAACCGCTGCATTCATAAATAATATGTATTGCTATTGAGGTCTGTACGAACTGTGCAGGTAAGAATTTTAATTTTTGCCCCAAGAGAACAAAATGGCCATCACCTTGTCAAAGATTTACATCCAGGTCTTCAAAAATAGAGTCCAGCATTCTAACTACTTGGCCAGATGCTCCCTGCTTATTAATACTGACAACTATCAGAAATTAATTCAAGAATCATACAAGTACTCAGCATTATGCCTTATGCTACTGATAAACATAAAACAGTTGATGTGCTTAGGCAAACAGAACTGTGGGGAACAAAATGCAGTCTCAAGCAGAAATAAAACCACTACTTTCTTTCCCCTGGGGTGAAATTTCTCCACAGTCATGTACAGCTACATTCCATGTACAAGCAAGCAACAACAAAAAAGCCACCAAAGAAACAACAGTTCCAATAAAACTGAAACACTCTTACCTATCAAATCGCTCAGCCCAGGTCTGCTGGCTATTCATAAAAGAAGACTCACGCCACTCCAGCTCAAACTGTAGCTTGCTCACTTCCTATAACATGCAGTAAAAAAATCTGGTCATGCTGGTGAGTGCCACTAGGATGCATTTAACTCTTTCAGTCCCAAGGAATGCATCAGATGTTCCTACCTAGAAGCCCAATGAACGTAAAATGCGCTGATTTTAAATCTCTCTTTACTGCCCCTTAGATCTCTGATTCTGAAACCTTGGGACTGAAAGATTTCAATTCAAAGAAAGGCATGCTGAGAACAAGTATTTAGTACTGAGTTTTTACTGGTAGTACAGGGTCTCCTTAACTTTTGACCTAGTTCTGCTCAGAATAACAGGTCTTAAGTCAAATTTATATTTTCTCAACACTATTTTAATTCAAATGGGTAATAAAAATATTACGTAAAACAAAAATTCAATCTTTGCATGTACAATTATTGAATATGATGTGAAAAATACATAATATGTACTCTATTGTACATACTGTAAACAATAATACAACCTGAAATTACTATTTGAATTTGTTAATTTTTTGTGTGATCATAAAAGCAAATGGTCATAACTCGCATAAGTCAAGGAGAAAGTGTATATATGTCTAAGCATAACTAGACAAAGTTATTTTGTTCCTAATCGCAGGCATTGTAGACTACAATGTGTCCCACAATTTGAGCATCGAATGATTTAACTCTATCACTCTGTATATTTTTCTATATTTTTCTCAGTAATAATAATTAAAAAAAGATAAGGAAAGGTCCCTTTTCCACGCCTTTAGGCATATAGGGCATATAAGGCTAGACCTATATTTTTATAGACCAATCGGCACAAGATGGGGGATGTGGTCAGCATCACGCCGGCCACCTTTACTTTCCGAGACTGCAACTGGTACCCACTCAAGGCTGGGTCGACTTAGGAGTTAAGGTCATTTTTGAAAAAAGTCCCGACCTTCCGATCCACACGTGAGCGTCTAGCCGCTACGGCATTGCGACAAACTTTCTCAGTAATGATGACACCCAAAGGACAGACAAGACAGTTAACAGACTACTATTAAAAAAACTTATTTTTTTTTTTTTTTTTTTAATAACTTCAATATTAAGTTTTTTCAATGATTCAAGAAATACTTTTGGAAAGGGGGGGGGGTGGGGGGGGGGGGGGGGGGGGGGAGGAGTGTTTATAACTTCAATATTATGTTAGCATTGTTCTAGTGATTCAAGAAATTCTACTTCTGGCATTGTCATTTTAACTCATTTAACACTGCAAATTTTGAAAATTAGACACACACACAAATTATGAATAAAAACAGGCAAAAAGGAGGCAAAATTCATTATCACAAATGCTTGTAAGAAAAGCACATGCTCTCAGGATAAATATGGCTCTAATTCTAATTTAGATATTACAAAAAGAAAATACATAAATCTATCAAAAAAAGGGACAAAAATCACTACAAGTCCCTTGCTATACAGAAACATCTGCTGAAGTATTATTTAATCAGTCAAGGTCCCTTTTTATGATAGTGGTGTATCAGGCATGTGATGCTAGACTTATACTTGTGCAGACTAATCAGCAGGCAATGCATGATCTGAGCAACTTATGCCAGCCGCCTTTATTTCCCAAGATATAACCTGGCACCCATTTCAGGCTGGGTCAACCTGGCAGCCAAAGTCAATTTTTTTTAAGAAAGATATGTCTGAATGCAGATTAGAATCAAAGACCTTCAAGCCAGCACGCGAAAGTCAAGCAACTGTGCTCCCATCCAAAGTATTGTAGTTAAATAAAGGTGACCGCATGCAAGCTTAGTAATAAAACATAAAGGTAAATGCGTACTTCAAAAAAAAAAAGTATTTAGTTTTTATCAATGAAAAAAAGAAGAGGAAGGAAAACAAAGCAGCATCACATACAAAAACTGTATGATTTTGGAACAGTGAAATGAAAAGGCTACAAAAAGCAAAACCATAAAAGATAACATGAAGGTTCCATTTCTAGGTCTTTGAGCTTATTGTAGCTTTAGCCCTGTATCTTCTCTTTCTTCTTAAGCATTCTGAGCCCATGAGGTTCATTGCAGCATTCCATTCATCTCTGTGACTGGTCTTCTTTTTCCAGTTGACAATTCCAAGTGTTTGTAGGTCTGCTGCATATTATCTATCCACTGTCTTCTTGGTCTGACTCATGGTCTACTCCTATTCAAATCTGTTGTGTATGCAGTTTTTGTCCCTCTGTTATCTGCCATTCTCCTCATACGCCCCAAACACTGAAGCCTATTAGCCCTCACTAGTGGTGATTCCAAAAGATTATGAATCTCATATTTGATTCTCACTGTTCATTCTCCACTGTTTGCATCTTTGATTGGTCCAAAGATCTGTAGTAAGACTGTCCTCTAAAGTCTGTAATAAGTCTGTTTCAGCTGTACTCCAGGTTTCAATGCCAAATAGGAAAACTGGTCATTTTAAGTTAGCCCTAAATTGTGTAAACTAATCTGTACTGGGTGGGTGTTGTGATCATTCCAGGTATTTCTGGGCAGGGTTGATGTGCTAGCCCAGCACTATTTGTAACTTGTGCCTTAATGAGGATTTAAACTCATAACAACTTGAGTTGACAGTATTAGGAAAAAAGATACCAATAAAATGACAAAATGTGCTCTTCCCATTGCTGCTATACACACATTGTGAAGTAACAGAAAGTAATTGTATACTAAGAAGAACTGACTATAACTCATATACATTACCCTTTTAACTTAGAGCAATTAGCCTCCTTTGGATATTTTCTCTAGGGCATGCAGATGTGTTGTTGGGAAATTAATATACAGACAGACTGACTGGTTCTGCACCACTTGGTGGTGAACTGATGCATGAAAAGTTGGTTGAACAGTGTGGAGGCACAAACAGATCTGAGGAGAATGGTGCAGTGAAAAGGGGGGGGGGGGGGGGGGGGGGAGTACCAGAGGTCTGGCTGACACTCAACACTCAGAGGAAAGACAAGACAGACAGACAGACATACAATTGCACTGCTACTCTTACGATCAGAAGAGGAACTCTGCCCTGGCTACTGAAGATGGAGACAAACTCAGCTCAGCTCAACTTTAACTTAGAAAAATCTCAGGTACCTACATATTACTATATCATATTTGATCTCAGCATCCAGGAGAATTGGCTCATAAACAGCATCCTGACCCAAAAGCTGACACATTTTGGCCATGTTAAAATATTCTTGGTCGACCTGAGAGAACGGTGATAGAAAGTACAGTTTCTGGAAAATGAAGCAAAGCTAGACCTCCAAGAAGGTGGATACAAGACTAAAGATGCGCTCGCTATGAAAGCACACAGGGCTGGAGAACTGGTCAGAGAAGGAGAGACTTTTAGGCATACAGTTATGTCTGCGACGTTCTATAAAGTACCTGCTTACTGATGATATCCTACTTATTGTCAAGGAATAACTTTACAGCCCTATGTATAGAGAGAAAAAAATCCTCCACAACTGAGAACTTAAGCTGTACATTCTTGGTGGGTATGTGCATATTTTCTTTTTTCTATGTTCTCACAGGATGTTCTCTAAATAATGTCCATATTACAACAAATGCTGCCAATGAGGTGGGCAGAGCTGAATCTTCACATAATCTAATTCACAATATAAGGTGGATGTGGCCAGTTTCTCATGGCCGTTCTTTCCTAGACAATTTCCAGTGTGTGATAGTTCTGATTTATCTAATTTGATAACTTTCTTTTTTGTATGTTATACTGACTGTGTATTGATATGTAATTCTTACGTCACATATCTAAGAATGATTCTTCCTCTTCTGTCCTTTATCGCCCCCCATGGAGCATAGGCTTACCCCCAACTCATACAAAGTCATCCGATCCTTTGCTATTGCATGCAGCTGCTCACCCACCCGAAACCCCCCCCCCCCCTGTCGCATGACAGCATCCACACATCTGCCACAGCAGGAAGGTCCATATAGCTGACCACCCTAAACTCGTCATCGTAACTATGTAATAGGATAGGCCAAGCATAGTTAGATAGTTCGTTTGTTGTGGGGGAGTCCTGATAGGAAAAATCCATATAAAACCCTTTGATAATGACTCTTTTAGGCTTTGAGTGTCGAATTAAATGTTAGGACGCCTTTTCTACGCCTATTCTAAATAAATTGTCTGACCACTGCACTGCATTAGTGAGCGCGATTCGTACGCTAACTGCTGTTGTTAGGGACGTGTTTGTGTGCGTCACTCTCTACAGTCCGGTCTTGGAGGCAGGCGTTTTTCCTTGTGTCTCGCCAATTGACCCGTTATACAGACAAGATTTTCTTGTTCTCTTTTTTATTTACAATGGGTGAGTTTTTCTTAAGGACTTTTTAATTGAATATTGGAGGTTCATAGTGTCTGTGATGTAGGTAAGTAAGGTCAGCAGCTGGATAATGCGAATCTGTTTTTCCTACGATTCTTGCCAAGGAAGGTGGGCGAAAGGAGCTCCAGATCGGAATGCACTTTCGGTTGACATTTCTGGCAGAATGCTTTGAAATGGCCTTTTTAAAAACTTTTTCAATTCAATCAATCTACATATCTGGAGTGGGTTTGTAGTATTGATAACTTTTGTATCGTTAATTATTTGCTAGTATTCGGTATCAGAACTTGGTAAGTCTCTGAAAGGTTTTGAACGACAAGAAGCTTATGGGCAGACATGACGTCATGTCCGCTGTTGCTAGGTGATTTCGTAACCACAACAAGCTTCGACTGTCGTATTGTTTTTCATAACATATTTCAGTCGGTCTTGGTTTTGACTTCATCGCTGATCCCCTATTTTTCTACGTTAGAAGGAAGAGTAAATAATGGGGAATCTGTCTAATAACCTTTGCCACAGAACTGAATCCCCGGAACTCTTCGAGTTAATGATCTAGTGCTCACTCTAGGAAACAAAAGGATTCTAGGATTGAGGTAACCAACCTTCATGGTTTGGAATGAACCTAAAATATATCTGAGCATTTGGAGGAAGTAACGGACCTTGATTTAATAGGTATACGATTGAGTACGGTTTCGCTCATGTCTGTTACTTTTACGTTTTTCAGGATTTTCTGAAGATCCAACAAGTGTCTACGTTTGATAGTGTGGTTCCAACTTGCTACACCCAGTAAACGTTTTACGTATGCTGAATTACGGTGGGTTGATGTGTGCGGACGACACACGGAGTGCAGGAGTTCCCTCAATAGTGACTTGAGTTTCCTGGATCCGCACCTGAAGCTGATTCGTTCGGTGAAGTGAGGCGACAGTCCTTGATTAATACTATAAGCTGATTCGTTCATGTGTGGTCGTACTGGGAATACTTGCAGAGAGAGTTTCCTTTTCGTGCATCCCGGAGAAGCTGATTCATTCCTGTGTAGCCAGTGCAGTACAGTACGTGGCGTATTACTCACAACACTCTGAGACGCCTGAGGAGCTACTACGAGAGCTGATCAGATAAGTGACGTGGCAGACTACGATAACTCGTCTCCAAATGTGCCCTTCATGGTCATGTTTTCTCCTTCGCCGTGATGAACATGATAGTGTATAGGTTCTCTTTAGAGGAATTCTTTTCTCCTTGTGTTTAGATTTTTAAGTTGTGATCGTTCTTTTTATTTCTTCGCTACGGTTTCCCCTTAACTTTGTTATAGTACATTAATTACAATCGGGATGAAATTCAGTAGTCTTCTAGTTGATAGAAAAGTTTCGTGTTACTGAATTTTAGTGTCTTATTCAGCGAGGCAGTGTTGTCTTGTCAAATTTGCTGTGATTTATTTGTTCGACTTGGACTTGTTTTTTTTTCCAGTCTGGGGGCAATTAGGTGGTGAGACGTCTGGCGAGAGGTAACCCAAGTGTTCATAAAAACCCTGTGGAGTCAGAGCTCGTGTCACCTCATCCCTGAGACAGGTTGAATGGAAAGTTTGAACCGAGGGTTAGGCCTCTAGACGAACGAGAGCCACCATTCAAAACTCTCCTGTCTCAGTCAGAGCACCTGAGGGATTTGTGAAAATATTCCTGTAAGTAAGGTGCCGACAAAACTGCCATACTACACCCCCCCCCCCCCCCCCCCCACTCCTCTCATTTCCTCCCTATCTTTTTAACAACACTATATGGCTCCCTTCTCCATGTGTTTTTAGTCGCCTTTATTTTGGTTCTAGTGCAAATACGTTCTAGTTCTTACATGGCAATAAGAGTGATTACCTATTTATTTATTACATATGGAAACTTAAGGATAATAATATCTTGTGATACACACAAAAAAACTAACTGATCAGAATAAACAGCAGAAGGGATCAAGGGTGAAACAATGTAAGACACAAACATTTGTGAGCACTTCATGGCAAGTCTGTGAACTCTAGTTTATGTAAATAGGTCATGGCATTTGGCAGCAGTCACTGGAAAAATGGATCCAAAATAGCATGCAATGAAATGTATATTACTGCCAGTCTAGGCATGCTCACAGTAAAACACTGGACAAGCTCAAATGACAGTCATCTTAACTCTTGTACATCAGCAATCAATCAGCAATGTAACTCTCTCAGTATCAGGCAGATTTTAAACTTGTTTTCTCCCATAAGATTTTTAATTAAAGTAATACATGTTTGGTTCAGCATCAGTGAAAATAATGCCTCAATGGGAAAGCGTGAGTTAATGTAACTATTGGAGCTGAAGTGGGTTAACATACCATATGGACATGACACAGGCATTAAGACAAATGCATAAGGCAAACAAAACCTAACAAATGCTTGGTACTGAATTAGTTAACTCTTTCAGTCCCAGAACAATTGCTTAAGAAGAGACACAATAACCACTGTGAAAATCGTAAGTAAAAAACTTTAAAAGGGGCAACTCTTAATTATTCTATGACCAAATGCAAAAAATAAGCGAACACACTGTGTAATGTTTGGGATTCAAGAGAACGAGTCTATTGCTCCAATGCTGCTTGTGACTGAAAGAGTTGAGAACATTCAGATGAGAATTTCAGAATAATCAAACAAATATGAAGTAAAATCAGTCTGAATAAGTAAGAACGCAAATAGTCTCACCTGTTCTAAATTCTTGCTTGTTTCACTGGCCTTTTGCTCAGTTTTCTTCAACTCCATGCCAGCTAAATCTGCCTGTGAGAAAATGACTACAATCAATGAGTATCCTAAAACTATTTTCTCTCTCTCTCTCTATCTCCTCGACCTCTAGCCTCTCTCTCTCTCCTCTCTCGTCTCTCTCGCTCTCTCTTCCTCTCGTCTCTCTCTCTCTCATCGATCTCTCTTCTCTCTCTCTCTCTCTCTCTCTCTCTCTCTCTC